CATAAGTCGAATATACGTACAAGAAGCTGCACAGTTGTAGAGATCTATTCCTAATTAGAAACGCACTTTTGATACAGTTTATTCGTTACTAGTAAGTTTCTTAATATTTTTATTAACATATTAAATACCAACGAAAGAGTTCCCAGTTAACAATCTACCAACTTCATAAATATTAGTTAAAGTAGAGTAATACAACTACAAATTAGACACAAATTTAAGGAGCTGTTCGTTACCAATCCTAGGACTTGACCACTGTTCTTCTCGATCGAGGGAGTGGCCTTTCGGGCCCTAAATTCCTGGATCGACTCTAGTAGGCCAAACTCTGTGGCCAAAACTCTTCGCTCATTCATAAAAGTTGTGGCTTTGTTAGTAACAGGTAACTCGTACAGCAAGCGGGCATATCATTTCGTTGCATAGTATGTAACAGGAAGCAGGGAAGCTTGGTACCAGGGTACCTGATAGTCGAGACACTCGACTGCGGCGTTCTCACTGGTTTTTGTTTTGATTATGCGGCTTAATAACAACACGTCATGTCATTTCATTTCGGTTTTCGGCTTTCAGTTTTCAGTTTTCGGCTTTCGAGAGGGATCCCCTTTCCCATAAAACCATTTCGTTGATCCCATTGAGAAATGCTCGACGTTTGTTCATCACGCAATGTCGCGTCCGCATTTAAAACACACGGCAAATGAAACAAAAAAAGAAATAAATATAAGTTAAAAAGCAGCCACCGCGGCTCTTTTCATCAGCCATCCACGGGAACTGTGTTGTTATTCTCGTTGCATTTATATTTAATAATATTGACGTTTGACCATCATATCGACCCTCGTTAGTTGCCCCCGATGAAATTTATAAACACTTTTCGAGAATTCATTCACCAGATAAATTAGGCAAATATTTCGGGGACCTCAATTGGGCAGATTGAGGAGTTGATATCTCGGCCAGCCTAATTGGTTGAGATTGTACAGTCGCACCAGAAAGCAGAGGGATATCGATTAAATCGTCACTTTTCCAATTACTTAGATATACGATAAATCGTGAGAAACTTACAGAATATATACTACGGATTACTTTCTATTGCCAAGTAAAATGGTAAGAAGGTGCAACAAAGTTATTAAGCAATTAAACTCTGTTTTTCAAATTATAACTCCCATGAGCCAAACATGTGGCTTACTTAGATGACACCTCTTTTATAATAAAAACCCCTCCCCAGACGAATGATATATGCTCGCATTGGGCCGATTAGGCGTTATCGGCTGTTATATATCATGATGGCCGAAACAAAGGCCCACTGACAAAATCGTACAAAAAGAGCCACAAATAAAGCCGAGAAATGGGATTGGACTGAGGCGAAAGAGTTTTCCCCGGGCGGGGTAATTTTAAGTTTTATGCTAATTCGCATAGGCCATCGGCCATCGGCCATAGACGATAGACGGCCAACCGGGCAATATGCATAAAAAAGGCAATCGAAAGGCGAGACCGAGAGCATCAAATTAAATCAGTTTAAATATGGCATAAAATAAAAGTACAAAATCATGTTTGTTTAAAAGGCCAGCGGCCGGCGAACGCCAACGGGTTAGAGTTAGTATCTCAAATCGAATTTATCGCCGCACAATTTGTGAAATTAATTTACTCGCCTGCGACTTCGATTCCACTTCACATGCACATATGTATGTATTCTTCGACTTGGACTTCAGTGATTCGAGTGAGCTAATTATGAGTGCCCCTAATGCCGTGGCAGGCGATACCTTGTTTGATTGTCAGCTCCGGCCGATAAGTTAAAAGTCCTGGCTGGCTGCCTCGCATAAATCGGGCCCCTATCAAAATCTTATCGCCTCGCCACATCGGCGGTCAGAAAGTTTTCCTCACCTTACCTTCGCTCGGCTCACCTTTCCACAACCCACAGGCCACGCTCCAAAACAGTCCAAAACAACGGCCGAGAATATCGCCATTTGGCGTTGACAATATTTTTCATGCTAAGAGACTTTTAAGCTGTCAGCGCGCCGCGCTCATAAAAATCGGCCACCAAGCCGGACAGAGCGGACGGAATCGAATCGAATCGAATCGGATCGGATTGGATTGGATCGAGCCGAGTTGCATCGAATCAAAACTGGGCCTAAGTCCACACCGCACGAAAAAGTGATTCGACTTAGGCAAGTTCTGTCTGCTAATAATACGAATTATGCTGGAGAACATAACAGTTTTATACTATTCATACTTAATACTTAATATTATTATTGATAAATACCTACAAGCATAAGTGCATAAGTTCCACTGGATCATAAACTTGCACTTTCTACTATCTTTTATATATGCCTTGACTTTATTTTACATTTACTTATAATTAGCTGCTAACAGCAGAACTGCGACTGTATTTAGGTAAAATGTAGTTGAACAGATGCGCGTGTTTTTCTCAGTGCACTTCGAAGCACCGAGCTGGGTTCGAAATTGCATTTCGAGGTTTCCCAACAGCGTCAAACTGTCTGGCAATTGTTTTATGCATTTAATGGGCTCCAACTTGTGGGAGGCGGCGACATCGGCGGGGCCTAACTCGATTGGAATGTGACTTTAGAAAATAAATCAAAGGCTTCGCGAAAATAACCTGATTTTGAAGGAAGTCGAGGAAAAGTTTATGACAGTGAGCTGCACTGACCAATATTCACTGAAAGTATTGTACATGGCTGCGCTTGTAAATCACTTAAAATTTGATTTATAAAATTAGCTTTATAAAATTCAGAATTAAATTTCCATGTTGTTTGCATTTTAAGCTGAGTTTTGCCTGAAACTGAAACGCTAGTTTGGCCCAAACGACATGTATTAACTTGGCTTTCTGGAAGGCAATATTTCTGGCCTAGGACTAGTTGGCCCACTTCCCCTCAAACCCCAGCGGGGAATACCGGGCTGTTTTCATCTTTATTTGCTTTTCCAATTGACACGCCCCCGGCCGCACTTTTCCAGCGATGAAAATCCGGCGGGGGAAAAACAAATGAAACGAAACGAAAATGAACAAACAAATTGCCGGCGTTGTAACAACTTGACATCAGCACGTGCCCCTGTGTGAGTGCCAATGGGCTGGGCAGTGGCGTGCGAGGGGGCTTAGACACCCCAGAAGGGGTATTAGAAACTGCCTGTAGTGTATGCCAATTAATGGAATATTTTATACATATTGTTTCCCAGTCAATATCGCATTAGATGGCAAGTCCTAAGTTCTTCAACTCTATATGATAACACCAGCCTTCAAATTTGCCACTATTTAGTGGTAAAATAACGTGGAGTTTTCAGTTCATTGCAAAATCGAGTTCCAAGTGGTATCTTTAAGTTTCGGAGAATGTCAAGTCAGCTATCCGAATAATCCGAAATCCTGATCCTTCCTGTTGCTGCGCCTCTGGCTGGATGTGTAAAAGATTGTTGACAATTGCCAATGGCTGGCTGCTTGTAATTCCCAATCTATGAATATCAAATAGGCCGGGGTCCCGCGTCCAGGACCAAAGTCCCCAACCCTTGTTTGCCAATCAAATCATAATCTGAATTTGCGAACAACAACTAGATAGGGACACGAGGAGGGGCGAGTAGATAGGGACATCATGAAGGCGCAAATGCAATTTTACAATGTTACATGAAACGAGAAAACGCGCAATTTGCGCCGGAGCGGGCTGGCGAAGTCCTGGCGAGGACTTGTGCTTTGACGCCTTTTTGATTTGATTGTCCATGACATGACCGCGTCCCAGTCCGCTCGTCCTCCCCGCGTACCGCTCACCCCTTAGCCCCTGCCCTACAACCCTGTGCCCTGTGCACGAGCACACATACTCGCATATTCCCGGATCCCCCTCCACTTTACGGTGCTCGTTGCATGGGCGCCATTTGTAATTCAAGTCAAAAGGCAGGCGGCGTGGTTGCTGTCGACGTGATACCCTGCGGGAAAGGGTATTCGGGAACTGAATGTTTTTTTTGGCTTCGAAAACTTGAGAAAAGTGGCACTTTGTTTTGTTTTCTTGTTCAAATATTCCATATAAAAATATTTGATTTCTTTGACTGGCCTAACAAATCTTATCTTGATTAAAACCTTCTGATTTAAATTTGGAATAGTAGTTACTTTTTTATGGATTTCCAGGCTTTTGACAACTTACCAAAGGTGACTCAAAAACAACCGCATATTGTAATGTGCCAATAAAAAGTATTAATAAAAACGAACTATAACAGTGGCATATAGAGGAATAGGGTATTAAAAACTTGCACTCGAAGCACTTTTATCACCCGGGTCCTTGCTGTTGTTGCCACTGTTATTCCTCGACGGATTATAATTTTCTTTTCCGTTTCAATGCATTTCATTTCCGTGCCAACGCACGAACGACCCTTGATCCCATCTGTATGCCAATGTGTGTGTGAGTGTGTGTAATTGTGTACTTTGTATTTTTGCATTTTTGACTCAATTACAATTTTCATGCAAACCGGCAGCCAAGCGGAGGAAGAAGCAGGGGCGTGGAAATAGTCGCAAGCATAAGTAATATTTCCGGTAATCGGATTACATAATGTGATCAGAATACGACATCAAATAAACAGCAGTCTAATGTAATTTCTTTTTTTCTTAGCAATTCGCCAATTTTCTGATTTGAATTCAAACTTGATTCACTTGCTTGATGTCTTCTTAGTTGAAATATTTCAGCTTGATCACGTTTTTTATTGTATAGAAAATATGGGCGGGAGTTTCGAAATTATTGCTTTTGTGGGAATGGCTTATTTTGAAGAGCGCTGCCAGATCGAAAAAAATAAACGACGTAGTGCAGCCAATGCTGAAAAAATCAGAAAAATGCTGCCCATCAATTCCGTTAATATCGTAAATTTGATATGTTATAATGGAAAACCTGAATTACAAAGAACTTCTAACTTAGAGAACTTGAAGACTAAATATAAAGTTACTTTACAATTATGCTGAAAATTTATGTTCTGATAAAGTTATAACTTCATCTATATCTCCACCGCCCATAAAATAAAAGACAACAAACTTTCTTAATCCTTCCGCTTCATTCTTGCTTTTGCTCAATAAAACACTTAGGTCTAATTTTGTTACATTTTTATCAGCTTTCATGCATCTTGATTACTCAAAAAATAGGAATTTAATTTATAGAAAAAAAAGTTCAATTATGCTTTAAACAATCGCACGCACACACAATTTTACCGCCTAAGAACTAACAGAATATAATGTGGCCACACGATTCTGATTCTCACTTTCAATATATTGCTGCGCACCCTTCGCTCCGTTCTCGATATATTTATATATATAAAGCTGATCCGTCTGACACCAAAGTTAAGAATAGGGAAAAGTGGGAGGTGCAACAGAGGGTCCTTCAATCGAACTCAAACTCTAGTTAAACATGGGGCTGTGTAGTTTATGTATGTATGTATATATATCAATTATATATTGTATTGTACATGTGAATGGCGTTGGCTACTACATACTCATGTGTATAAAAGTGTTTTTCCTGTATACAAATCAACTTACTGAGTTGAAAATGCCTATTGAAAAAAGAGGGAAAGGAAAAGTCTAGTCATATCGTAAACGTTACATCATTCGCGCAGGTTTATGAAATGCTATCGATGAGTTTTTGGGACCAAGAACACGCTCGAAAACGGAGGAGGATGCCGAATGCTAGATGCTAGATGCTGGACGCCGCGTTCATTGGGTGTGAGCGGTTATCACGATGTTGATTTGCGGATAGACATCCGGCTTGGCCTCCGACGTGATCAGCTGCACCATCCGCTGCTGCAGTTCGTCCTGGCTGGCCTGCGTGCCCGGCGGAATCATCCATATGGCATCTGTTTGGAGACAAAGCGTTACAACGGGTCATTAGAAGTGGGTTGCTAAACTTAATTGATTTTACAGTTCAGGAGCAAAGAGTTAGTCGTTTAAATTTAATAACAGTCTTAATATATTTTAAATGGGACTTTATGTTGATTCAGAATGTGCTACATTATTTGTTCTTTTGCTTGGCCAATGCAAATGTATGTACTTGATTCCCATGCCCAGTCTCTCGAATTTCTTGCTTGACCCCTGCTTTCCTTTTGATGATTCGAAATACTTCTATTCACTGAATTACTTGCAACACTTCTGACTTGCTTGCTCAGCGGATCTAGTGATTCTAGTTCTAAGATCGAGGGCTGTCTCTTGCTCACCGCCAAAGTACCAGCCATTTGGAGTGCACAACCGCCACATGATCGGCGGTTGCGTGGGCATCAGATCGGCCAGGATATCACAAGTTTCGCCCGGACGCAGGGCGGGCACATTGATGCGCTGCGTCTGGATGGGCGAGGTCAGATAGCAGTTGTTCGGCCAGCGCTCGGTGCCATCGTTCTGCAGCTGAAAGGCTTGCTGCTGAGCATTCAGGTGCTTTCCCTGGACGATCTTCATTGAAGGCAGCGACTGTAAACTGCAGAAGTCCAGATAGCAGCCGACCGCCATCTGTAGGCTCCTAAAATTGTGAAAAGTGGGGATTAATATAGCAATTTTTTTCTTTTAAAGCTATGCTTATGCACAAATTTTAAGTATTTTGTAATGTGCGATCTAAAATTAGAGACCAATAATTTACATAACGCAACACGCTACCTGTAGGCTAAATATTATTTACAAAGAAAAATCATTAATATTATACCGCTTTAAAAAGTACTTGTAAAGTTAGAATCGCTCTCGAGATAAGGCTTCAAGGGGAATTTAAGATACGTTTATAGTTTGTAATGTGTTATATATCAGCATGACCAACTCAAAACTCCAAGTTTTTCTATAAATGTGTTAATTAAACTGGAAGCAAACAAAGTGACTAGTTGCTTAATTGATTTTGCAATCTTCATAATTCAAAAACTACACCTACTGTACTATTACCTCACTACCTGCACTATTTATGTACATCTAACTAGAAAACGTCGCTTATGATGATCGTAACCTGATGATTTCTGAATATATCATTGTAAGTAACACATATTTATGAAAGATATAGATTTCTGCGAGTATATAGTGAATGTTACATGTCCCAAACACAATGAAGAAGTATGAAATTACGGAGAAGTGACGCTTTCTGTGTTCCTAACTTGCTGATTATTATAATCTCAATTTGTAATATTGAAGCACAAGTAAAAAGCTATTCCAAGCGATCTTAGACTATATCCTTACCAGTTACTCATCTCGAGGTAAAACCTGGCAGATTCCCGGTTCATCTGGTTGTTCATGAGGCTCTGGAACTGGCTGATGAGGTCCTCGTGATCCGTGGTGCCCATGCAGCTGAACTGTTGCAGCAGCAGGGAATCGATATCGAAGTCATTCGTCGGCAGACACTTGATTGTGGATGCGGATGCGTTGGTGGATGGTGCGGATGGACTGGTACTCAGATTTGAATTGGGATTCAGATTCGAATTCGGACTGATGTTCGGGGCGGAGTGGGGCAGCATTCCGGGTGGCGCGGGCAGGGGTATGGCCATCATGGGATTTGTGGTTGTTGTTGTATTGGTTGTGAGCCCGAATAACGGTTCACATTGCATTTGTTGTTGCTGCTGCTGCTGCTGCTGGCCGTCCGAATTGGGATTCGGATTCAGATTCAGATTCATATTCATGTTCTGCATCTCGGCGGCGTTCTCGTAGTTCTCCTCCACATCCATCTCGTTCTCTGTCTCGATCTCGCTCTCTGTGCCTGTGTCCTTTGTTTGCTTTCTCTCCCTTTCTTTCTGTAAATAATGTGTCAAATAAAAATCGCAATCAAATGAAAATGCGTTCTACGCTTTTGTTGTTGTTTAAGCACTTGTACACGCACGCACACCGACGCACGTTCGGTTGGAAATACTCACGCACACACAGACGCAGCAGCTGGTTTTAAAGGGCGATAGAAACAACAACAGCGGCGGTCGCCAAGGCCAATGGGGCGGGGCGGGGGACGTTCCGGCTTCCAGCGTCCGCTGGCTTGACCTGTGACCTCGAAGAAAGCCGAAAAGCGATCGCTTCGAAGCGAAGAAATGCGGGAATAAAATAAAAAGGCAACAATTCTGGACCGTAAGGTGTGACCAGGCGGTTATAGTCTTTTAACCAAATGAAATGTGACCGTGGCAAGGCGGCTTTGCAATACCTCCCGGTATTGGGAAAATACTAAACGTTTTCAGCACACAATAAAATAATCTATCTGAACATGTAATCAGAGGAACTTGGATCATAAACCATCCATACGAATAAGGTGTACAAATCTTATATAAAACAGCTTAAAACTTTGTATAATTCCCTTTCTTGTTCGAATCAACTATCGCATAAGAACAATATAAAATATATTGTGAGAATAGCATTAAGGCAATTTGAGTTTTAACGGAAATCTAGCTTTAAGTAGAATAGTGTGCCGAGATTTGGTAATACCGCGGTAAGTACTACCGTATATTAGTCGAATTTCAAATTCCGAAACGGGCACACTGCTTTCGTTCCGTTTTCTTCTTTCATTTCCCACAATACAACCTGCAATTTAGTTTTCTGTTTGTTGTTAAACATCTAACAAAAGCGCTTCGCACGCACAGCAAACCGGTCGATTCCGAATTCAGACGTGCCAAATAACGTTTGAAAACAAAATTTGCTCGGTTGAAGTTGTAAATAACAACACGGAGGCTTTAAATCCGGCTTCATTTTTTTTTTTTATAAAAACCAGCAACAAACAAAACCAGAAACGAAAGTGTGTGGGTGAAATATTAAGAAAAAAGTAAAAGAAGTTTAAGTATATTAGCACACAAACGCACAAATACATAGATACGTATAGAAAAAGGAGCGCGCGGTAAAACAAAAAAAGAAGAGCAAATAGAAGTAAAAAGCCGACTGCGAAAACGGCGACAAAGTGAAATTGATAATAAACGGATAATTTATTTAAAATAACCAATCAGCGGCGTCAGTTATAAATAATTAAGAAAGTCAAGAAGAAAAGCACCAGCAGCACTCACACACACACACAGACAGCGAAAATGGCAACACTAAACAAATTCACAAAAACGCTGTCCATTGATGAAAAGGCGGAGATCAAGGAGAAATTCATAGAGGTGAGATGACAAAAAGAGCGACAAAGCGAAATGGTTGCTAGCAATGGCAACCGCATCAGCAACATTCAATCAATAAGAGTAATAGGTGGCAAATTGTTGAAATTCAAATTGGATGACTCACACACACACGCACGCATGGGGCGCAGGAAGAAAACCGTTAAGCGGTGCATGTGGGCGTCGACGTTGACAATGGGGAGCAGCGACGCCAACGCCAACGCCGACTGCGCAGTCGGCAGCTACGCTGGCCTTCAACAGTGCAAAGCAACCCCCCATGAAGTGGACTCAAGAGAAGAAGAAGCAGGGGCGGGGAAGAAGGAGCAGGAGGAAAACAGAGGCGGACCTAAAGTTGAACTTTGAAGGGGTCCTGCCACTTTGTTTCTAATTCATTCGCCTGTTTTTAAGTTGTTATTACTTGAAATTTTACACCTTAAAAATGACTAAAATGAGACTAGTTTAGATTAGAGGTCATAAAAGATCATGAGCGGCCCTAGAGTTAAACAGTGTTTACTTAAGGAATTTGAAAGAAAGTTGTGGAAGATAGGCGGATGACTTAGATAACTACTTTTAAAAGCGTAACTTAGTCCTTTAACCCTTTGAAATCCCCCCTCGTTCCGCCGCTGGAAAAGACCATGAAAAGACGCAGAGACAAAGCATCGCTAGCTAACGGTTAATGCGCTGCGCCCGCTGCTGCATGTGCGAGTGCGAGGGAGAGGGGCGCGTGCGTGGATGTGGGTGGGAGGGGGCCAGCAGATGAGCAAACAAGTTTCCCTTTCCCGCATCTCTTCTCTACCGCTCTTTCGCACAGTGGAGAGTCGTTATCAAGAAAAAGTGAAACGAGTGAATGTATATTATATACATACATAGTACATTTTATATTTGATTTCTAGATATACGTATGTAAAATGGAAATATAATGGTAAAATGGAATGCAAAAGCTTATGACGAATATTATCAAATTATTAAGCTGTCTGATCCATGTACCATAAAAACGAAGATAGGTAAACCAAGCCGCCATCCATAAATTTCACTGTAGGCACTTTACTTTGGCTTGTTACCGCCTTGATAAAGTATGCAAATATTTCTTATCGTGCAGCGAGAATTTCCCCTAAATATTTACAGGAGAAAACACTTATTTTTTTGTCTTATTTCTTGGGTGGAGCCCTCTGCAACTGCAAAGCCAAGAACAAAATCATTATAAAAGCAGCGCATGCGTGGAAAAACGCAAGTTCAATGCCGCAGTCAGCGTCGCTGTCCATCCCCCCTAGTGACTAATGCTAAACAAACTAAACAATAATACAACAACGTTGACACCAACCAACCATCATCTTTCACTTGACGAATCTTTCTCGCGAATTTCGCGAGAATAATATTTGGGCAAGGCCAGCGCTATAACGTTAGCGTATAACGTGCATTTATTTCCATACCATGACACCACGTAAAAGTCGCTCTGCTGCCACCCCTTTTTTTGGGGTGGGGGGTTCGCAGGGGGCGGGGTGGAATAGCATGGAAAACCAGTTTCTGCTTAAACTAAAAATAAAAATAAAAATCACAGGCCAAGGCACATATACAAGCCCCGTCACCGGGAGAGCGTGAAAAACTACGTCTCAGCTCGGTCGGTCGCAGCTTCAATTCAGATTCAGATATCTGCTCTCAAACGCAAGACAAGTCGCACAGTGTGCCACATGGGGTTGGTCTGCGAATTGATCGTTAAGAGTAGGAATGCCTATAGGGCATATATTTTCACTCTATGAAAACCATCGAATATTCCTCACTTCGGTTTTAATGAATGGTATTTCAAGGGTCGTTCCTAATATGAATTTATCAATTTTAGATTTTAAACATTCCCATTCATTTTATCGGTATAAAAAATGTATTTCTAAATGATATATATTTAAAATATAGTTTTGCAGTCTTTTTCTCGGTCAGACAACATTCGGTACCTACGATTCGATGTTTTCGAGCCACTGTGCATTCGTCACCTTGGTTCAGGGGGCAACCGGAGTCGAGCAATTTTCGTTCAATTTTATGCACACATTTAATAGTTTGCAATTGTTTCTTGCTGATTTTTCGCTCGCCCGACTTCTCAAATCCCGCTCTGCATTTGGCATTTGGCTTTTCGCTGAGCTCGTAATTCCCGGCAATTCCGAGACCAAAAAGAGGGAAATAATAAACGCCCACGCTGCAATTGCTTCGAGTGCAGGCCATAAAATCCGTATATGCTGGAAGACATAAAAAAACGTTGCTTGATTGCAATTGCCAACGAGGGGGAGAAACGGAATGCAGGCATGCAACATACAAAAAGGAATTACGTATACTAAACTATCAAATCTTGGCCTAAAAACCCCTTGCATAAATGTGAAACTGGAAATGAAAAGTATCGAATCTTAATCATTTCACTGATAAACTGCGCTTTTCTTAAAGACCCCCACTTTTTATCTCAGTGTACCATTTAACTCGGTTGCCGCCGCACGCGTGTTTGGCCGTTAATCGGTCGAACAATATGGGTCCATTGTGTTCGGAACTCCAATGGATCCGCGTGGCCAACAGAACGATTTGCAAGAAGCTGATTCCAAACGAGATCAGGATAAACACTACTGAACCAGGCACACACAATGGGTGGGAGTTGTGTGGGCGGGGAACAATCGCTGCACTGATTGACACTTGAAAGCTGAAATCTGTTTTCGCTGTTCCACTATTGTTGTTGGATGCTGCGATGACTAATGCCTGAGCGAGTGCCTCAGATCAAGGGAAAAATTAAAAAAAAACAATTGAACAGGATTTTTATTCACTCAATGAAGGCTGCCTACTTATGATATTGAAATTATGGTAAACAAACTTGTTTATCTCACGGGAAGTGTATTTGATATTGGTAAACTATCTGCTATCTGGTGACTAATTACAAAGTAGGCAATGCAGTTTTTTCCCTTTTTTGCTAAATGGGTAGTTTTTAGGGTGATAAACTAATCCGTATTGTTCGTTAGCTATATGAGGAAATTAAATTAAATATTGGCAATAATAATAATTATTACTTCACCGACTTTCTACTTCCTAATTTTTCGTTGCAATTTTAAGGTTATTATGGTTCAGAGTATTAAGGATCCGGATTCAGGATTATTGCCCATCGCATGTGAGTGGCACATTGTTGCCATTTGCTTATGTCAAGCAGCAAGACAGAGTTGCCACACCCACACACAAAGCGCTGCTTTTGTTTGTCTTTCGTTTTCGTCTCTGGTTTCTGTGTTTCTTTCCCATTCTTCCAGTGTTTTTGTTTCTGTTTCGGTTCCTGTTTCTGCGTGGGAGTGTCAGTGTTAATTGCCGCAAAGCCCCGCATTTTGAGTGCCCCGATGTGAAGGAGATATGCAATGTGTTTTTATGGTTTATCGAGCTTGCATACTTGATAAACAATGGCGGTAGAAACTTAAGCATTTCGATGAATACATTAGTGCGCTATTTTTAGTAGATTTATGAGTGAGCTGCATTGAGAGTTCCTATAGTTTCCAAATCCCTTGGCATTAAACTGCAGTTATCCCCGATTTTACACCTTTCTTATTCACCGATTTATGGCTCTAGGGATGCTATTATCTTGGGCGTAAGTGTGCGCCGCCTTTGTTGCATTGCATGTTGCTGTTTTCAAAAGCTGATGGGCAGGCATATAATTCATTTGGCTGCGTTTATTAGGTCTCTCGGCTTCTGCTGTTTTTTCTTTCCCGACGTTTTTTTCCAGCTTTTACTAGTGTGCTCCCATTCACACAAAAAACAACACTTATTGTTGTCTTTTCCGAATATATAATTCTTTGGGATGTTGCTGCAGCTTGGCTTTTATCAACTTTGTTTGGGGCCCCTCAAGTGCATTTTGAGTGCAGGCTACTCGGGCACTTAGCGCTAAAAACGCTTTCTTTATTTATTTCGTTTTTAGCTTCTTTGTCATTTTAATGCACATGCCAAAGAGTTTTGAATACTCGAACATACAGCCGGCATACAGTGCCCATCAAAAGTCGTGCCGCACAGTGGGTCGTGATCACACAGCGATGATATCATTCCATCCGAAGATTGTGTG